CTAAATGACTGAGTGACCGCTCAATTTTACCGTTGAACAAGAAACTTGTTGGTCGACTGACTGACAGACTAAAATACTTACTTAACGTCAGAATGGCTATCGGATTGGCTGGCTCAATGATTGGCTGGCTCAGTGATTGGCTGGCTCAGTGATTGGCTGGCTCAGTGATTGGCTGGCTCAGTGATTGGCTGGCTCAGTGATTGGCTGGCTCAGTGATTGGCTGGCTCAGTGATTGGCTGGCTCAGTGATTGGCTGGCTCAGTGATTGGCTGGCTCAGTGATTGGCTGGCTCAGTGATTGGCTGGCTCAGTGATTGGCTGGCTCAGTGATTGGCTGGCTCAGTGATTGGCTGGCTCAGTGATTGGCTGGCTCAGTGATTGGCTGGCTCAGTGATTGGCTGGCTCAGTGATTGGCTGGCTCAGTGATTGGCTGGCTCAGTGATTGGCTGGCTCAGTGATTGGCTGGCTCAGTGATTGGCTGGCTCAGTGATTGGCTGGCTCAGTGATTGGCTGGCTCAGTGATTGACTGACTGACCGAAACGAGCGAATGAATAGCTGTCCGACTGTCTCACTGACTGAGAGTCGGATGGACATTTTGTTTGTCTTTCTACTCTACGTTTGAAGCAGTTAATCATATTAAAATTGTGTTGTGCTGATCTGTTTTTTTTGCAGGCGTCGTTATCTGCAGAAGAAACGGAACAGGTCGTTGCAGGACTCAGGTAACAGTGTTGTTCGTTAAATAAACAAAGGGGTTAAGTTGCTAAAGAAACTGAGGTGCTGTTTTTGGCTGTGAAGTCCTTGCTTATTGAGATCAATATTTTGTGGTTTTCTGCCGCCATCTGTGAAGAGGAGCCATGCATTTTGTCTTTAAAACAGTTTCAAATTACAGTTTGTTATTTTTAGGCAAGAAAATGCGTCTTTGGTCATTGAAGGGCAAGAGCTGCGAGCGGTAGGAAGCTTCGTTTTTGTTATTTATTTATTTATCCATCTTATTCCTGAGAGAAAATAGTTTGAAGGCTGCTCCCTAAATTGGCAGCGAGATCACTTCGAGTGTTACGTTTGTAAGAGATTGAATAGATTTATTCCACAAGAGATGTCTTTTAATCCCTTGTTTCCCGTTTGCCCTTTGTAGAAAGTGAAAACAATGAGGGAGGAGCAGGAAGAGTCTGAGGTAAGCAACCACCCACCCCACTCCCCTTCTTTCACGTCAGAAAAATTTTAAATTTTCACAATTCAATGTGCAACTCGCTTCACGAATCCGAAACAAAACCGAGGCCACTCCAGATCTGAACACTGGCGTTTTCCCGCGCTTGAAGTCGGTCACGTGTGCATACTTTGAATTGCGCTTGGCTGTCTGCGGTTTTTTCTCTGTTCTGTCGCTCCCCCCCCCCTTCCCAATCCCAACTTGACAATTGTAAATCGACCACTTTCTGTCTAAGCACCTACTGTATCGTTCTGTTTCATTAGGACCTGATATCTCAGTTGGAAAACAAAGTGTCTTTAACTGAGACCCGCTGTGCTGAGCTGGCCATGGAGGTAGATGAGCTGACAGCCCATGTGAAGGTACTGCTTCAAATCCAAACGAATTTACCCCTCCCCTCCCCTTCCTCTATACTGCCTTTCTGTATATGCCCAGCAGGTTAGCTTGCATGTCTTTTGGGGGTGGGGAATGGGAACAACGATTAGTGCGAGCCACAAACGATTAAATTCTTGATTTGCCAAAGATGGAGAGGTTCATCGTCGAAATATGGTTACATCACAGGTGTTGTTGTAGCTTAAGATCAGATTTCTTAAAAAAATTTTTCACAAGCGTAGGACAAGAAAGTAATAAGCCATTTCCGAATTACGTTTGGCCTCTTTTTCAAAACGAGGCCTGGTGCTAATAATAATAATAATACACTTTATTTAGAGAGGGTGGCACGGAATAGTTGAAGTAACTAATAAACTTGTGGCCCTCTATTTAAAAACTTCTAACAAGCAATGTGTGTTGAATTGTAACATAACTATCAATGAAAACTAAGCCATTACGTATGGAAATGAGTTTAATTTGCATGTGAATGAAAACTTATTACCATACGAAAAAATAAGCACCAGGACTCGCTTTGAAAAAGAGGCTAATATATAAAGGCTATTCGAATCCCTCTACGAGAACTCGAATCCAGGTCTCCCATTTCGCGGTTGGATGTTGTTCCGAGTGAGATATAAGGAACTCGCTTCTGAGTTACGCTTTAAAATAGGTTCGCATGCAAAAAGAATTTTTCGAATTTCTTTGTGCTATTTTCTTTGTTCTACTACTGGTGATGCAAGCGCCATATTTCATATCAAAACAGGAGCAGAACACCGCAGTTGATGGCTGGAATGAACAGATATCACAGCTAACATCGGAGCGTGATCAACTGAAAGACTCGCTGGAAGAAGTAACGAAGGTGATAGTCTTTCGACGACTTGTTTTGTGTTTATATTAGCTTAGGAAACTTGTGAACGACATTTGTCAAGAAATCCTCGCTGAAATTCAGTTTTTACTTAAAATTTTCCCTTAAATGTTCATTTAAAATTCCTCAACAATTGTCGTAGTTAAGATAATCTGATCATCAGGCTTTGTCCTCCCCGTGTTCAAAATCTAGTTTATCATTTTTTTCTACTTTATTTCCAACTAAAGACAGTTACAGAAGTTAATTTTTTTGTGCAGAAATACGAGAAATATTGAAGGTAATGACGGTGAAAATTAAGAAAATTTGCAAGAGAAGCAATAAAATAGCTGAATAGTAAGGTCCAGAAAGGTCCACTGAAAACCGCGGAAGTCACGGCTGGAAAGATCACTCATTTTAATTTTTTGTCTGACGAACCTGTTAAGGAAAGTCTTGTTCTATTCTTTCTCTGACACTTAACTATGTGGAAAACCTGTTTATTAAAACTTTGCTAATATAAACGCGACTTATTTTTATGGTTACACTGTTTTCTAGGTCGCCAAGAGTCGTAAAGAATTAGCTGACAAGATGGCCATCGACAAACAGACGACAGATGCGGCTCACAAAGATCAAATGGAAAAGATGCAGGAAGAATACAAGGTTTGGTTTACTGTAGAGACGAATAAAGAGATTGGATTGAATAATTGAAACAAAACGAACTTGTTTGAATCTAACCCTGATATTTGCGCTATTTTACGCAGAAAGAAATGAATGAACTTAGAGATGTGCTGACGGGAGAGAAGGTAGGGTGACGAGTTTCTAACTATTTATTAATCTTTTTTTAGCCACTGGTTGATTTTCCGTGGAATTGTACTGTATCGTATCTTCAGCAAGAAAACTGAAATTATGAAATGAACGAATATTGGAAAATCTGCTTCGGGTCTTTGATCAATCCAAGGACGAGTTCGTGACATCTTCGGATGTTCTCGGCACTCGGAGTCGTTTTAAAATTAAGCTTCGGAAATATTTCTGTAAAACTTTGGAATCTTTGGATATCTTCAGAATTCATTCTTCTCAAATAGGTTTAAAAGCTAAGGCAGATTTTTATCTTCTTGGCCAATCACAATCTGATTCTTTTCCTTCCGTGATTGTAATTTTTTCAAGTGTTTCTGTGTGAAAAAATGTGTGTAGCACGGTGACTAGCATCTAAGAGCTTGGAATATTCACAGAAACTACGCAAAGAAGTTGAAGACTCGCAACAGAAGTTAGCAGAAACTAAGGCCAAACTACAGTCTTTAGAGAGCAAGAGCGGATGGTTTGAGAGAAGACTCGCTGAAACAGAGGTAACTCTCTTCCATTGTCTGATTGTGAATTCTCCCCACTGGCTGTTACATATGTCCTTGAAAGTTAGTTGCGAGAATTTGGTGTTAGATCAAGATAACCTGATAAGTTTGAGTATTAAAGAACCCACTTCACGAGATTACTGTGATGTGGTATGGCCTGGTTACCGAGAATTGGGGGGGGGGGGCATCTGTTATATTCACCTTTATTTGATTGAAAACTGCTTAGCAGTCTGGTAAAGTCTCAAGTACAGTGTTGTAAAGCGCCATGAGTTTAAGATATGAGCGCTATATAAATACAAGTTATTATTATTGTTATTATTATTATTATTATTATTATTATTTTTATTTTTATTCTAACTACTCGTTTTCTGGATAATGTATGAATATAAGGTAAAGTTACATGTTAATCACTTTTGGAAATTAAAGGGTTAGCTCTTTCACCCACGAGACCCCGTACGTAATCCTCCCTTTTAGCCGCCATAAATTGCCTTGAAAATAAGAAGGGAAAATTTTCAGTTGTATCCTGATGGCGCCTTGCAGCTGATACTTTTGTGTATATCTCTTACTAACCGAGTTTGAGGTCGGGTGGCCTGCATAGTGAAATACGACCCGTCATCATCCTCAAAAGGTTTTGTCTATCCGGCGATCTTAATCTGTCCTTCTCCGCCTTAGGAAAACTTGAAAGAAGAGAAAGAAAGAAATGAGCAAACACTGGCCAACCTGCAAGTGGAACGCGAAGAGGAACTTAAATCTTTGCAAGAAGAGAGAGAGAAAGGCGAAGGGGTGAGTCTATCGCCAAGGCTTCGCAGGTGAATCTAGTCCGGGGGAGATTGGGATGGAGTTTGAGAAAACTTGACATCGTGTATATCCTTACGGATATATACGGTACGGATCCTTACAGAGCATAATTTCGCGCAAAGTGAGCGGGCAAACATTAGAAAATAGGAAAGCGTTAACTCTCAATGGCCGCAGCTCCCCAAAGAGATAAATCGTCAGATTCGTTTCGTGTTATCTCTTTCCACACCCTCTTGTTTCATTTAATTCCATTCCGTGATTAATCGTTTTATTCATTCAGTATATAATTTCACTCCATTTTCAATCTTCCAGGAATTCCAGTCTCGGATTAGTGGGTTACAGGAGCAAATGGAAGAAAAGGAGCAAGAAATGGAGAAATTACGACAAGAACTGAAGGATAAAGAAGTGGAAAACAAAATTGCCGGCAAGAAAGGGGATCAGCTGGTGAGAATTAATGTGCTTGTGCCGTTGCCTTCTTTGTTCTAGTGATTTGAGTTTGGCGCTGTTTTGTAATCGTGAACCTAAGACGAAAGAAAACTAACCAAGTGGTCAATAAGCAAAGAAATGATTCTCGTAGGTAGACTGCTGTGTAAAATGGCTTCGTCGGGATTCGACGGAATTCGACGAGATTCTAATCACAATTGGGATCAGTCATCGTTTTTTTTTTTTGTCGTTGTTGTTGAAGGTTAAGGACCTGAAGCGTCAGCTCAAACTGGAAAGGAAAAGAGGCGAGCAGCTACAGCAAAAATTACAAGAAGCTACATCAGAAAACAGAGTCAACACAGGTGAGAAGCGAGTCACGTGAAATTTTATTCCGCAGAATCAATACCCAGTCTGGGATCTGTTTGTGGGAGGAATACAATGACTCCATTGCTAAGGCATTGTCACGCAAATTGTAATCAAGAGCGCTTCTTCCTTTCTTTCTTTCTTTTCCATTTATTATTAGCTATTAATTTATTTCCCTACTTTTTTGCAATGATTAGCTTTCAGTTCTTTAGTTGCTAATTGCTTTCAAATTCCTTCGTCTACTGTTACGATAGTATCAATAAAAATTGCATCTCGGTGCATGAATACGAGGCTGATATTGTGCTCTTCTTCTCAAAGCATTTGAGGATATGTTTGTTGGAAGGGAACATCAACGACGAAATAGCGGGTGAGTTTACTGTCGACCAGTTTTATTTCACAGAAGGACTAAAATGCCGGCTACGTTGAATTTTGCTTATATCCTTTTTGTGCGTGTTGATTATACTTGTTCTGCTTTTGTTTTGTTTTCACACTGCATTTAGTGCAAATTTTGAGTGTTGAAAGTTATCCATGACTGCCTTCGTTTTGCTTTCCTTTCCTCTGTGATTGGTCCAGTAAATTCGCGCCACTCTTGACAAATCAGATGCAAAACCAACACCAATCACGACATGGTCGCCGGTGTTTTCCCGCCCTTTCGGCGGTTTGGTTGTTTTTACTTTGAGCTCTCATTGGCTCTTAAGATATTTTCCTTTCTTCTGATTGGCCGTCGTTATTACTTTAGTTTTGGTTTTAAAACTCTTAGTTGAAAAGCGCTCTGACACGAGGCATTGTCGCACGTGGCATTTCTGTTGCCAAAGCTGTCAAAATACAGGAAATGTTTATTTGGAAATTTCTTGGTTACTTTCTAGTGATTCATCAATCGTTAGTCCACCGTCAAGAAGTGAAGTGGACAGCCCAGAATATAGGGTATGATTATATGCATAGATTGAGTACGCAAATACGCAGACTACTCCAGTTACGGTCGTAGCATTGGCGTACAAGTGTACTAGACTCTTCCTTCAAGTCTTTGTTGTTGTTGTTTGTTTGTTTGTTTTCAATCTGGCAAATATCCAACCTCTTAATGTAAAGCGAAATGGTTTAAGAATGAGGGATTGAAAAGGTTGACATAGAGTAGATAGCGAACAAATAACTTTAAACGCAAAGTATATAACTATTTACAACAGCTACCACTTCTTTCGAACCATAATCTTGACTTGTTATGATATTTTTAGCCCCCAAGCCCCGCCGCGTCCAGGATCAGTATGCTTAACGACGATACCACTGACCTTATAGAGCGACTCGCGGACGCTCAGCAAGAGAAGTGGCTCCTCGAAGAAAAGGTTTGTATTGAAGAACTTTTAGTGCGCATTTCGATTGAGTATTGTATATGCATAACCACCTACGTATGAGGCCAGGTTACTGAGTATTCATCAAAATGGCGGCGTGCATGGTTGAATATTCAGCACATCTTAGGGCAATTTTTGAAAGGTTATGTTGCGTTTATGATCTGAAAACGCAGTCTTCAGTGTCAAAATTTTACTCCTATCTTTCAATGGCCGACACAAAATAGGTATTTTGAGACATACCTCCCCATAAAGTTTGGGAAAGTCATATTTGGTTTACATCTGTTCGTCTCTCGTCTCGAGGAGCTTAGTGGAGCAAAGACTGATAAAGAATCTTTCTTCTTATTTTTACATGTTTTTTTATTCTTAAATGACTAAAAACAATTTACGAAATGAAAGACATTACGTTTCGCAACCCGTTCACACCTTTTTTTTTTAATTTTTTAGCAAATTTTATACTTCTATGCCCATTTTTATGCAGGTTTGAAAACATGAAACTCGCACGATACTTCGGGAAACATTCTAAAAGCATTTATTAAAGATTTCGCAAAAATATCATTCTTTTTTTTTTCTTTATTCTTTCTCTATGGACTTACATGTCCATAGAGAAAGAATCATGATCATGATAATACATGAGAGTCAATTTCTCGTGAACTATTTCAAAGAACTGTAAGTTGTTTTCTTCTAGCTCAACAGCTTTGTACGGCAATTGTTTTCCTCGCAACATTTAAGAATATTCAGCTTTTTCATGGTTTATCTTGAAGGTTCGCCATCTTGAAGAAAATGGAGCAGCGCTAGCAGAAGATCTATTACGAAAATCAGCTATAATTCAGGCATACGCCATGGAAACTAAAATCGGTAAGTCAATTCGAACGACCCATTTACTTTGTTGTTGGAGGACTAGGACCTAGTTACGTCACATATAAGGCTGCTAGACCGCTAAGCAAGATTCCAACTTGCGGTGTCTATAGCTTTTTGCGCATTTATCTCGAAATGCTGTCAGTGTCGTAATTCAAAATAGACTTATTGCTCTGTTAGATCCTAATTTATTTATTCCTTTATGTATTTATTTGTCATTTTTAGGTCCCATAGCGGAGTCTCCAGCGAAACCATCTCCAGCCGCTTCGATTTCTTCTTTGAAAGAGAAGATCCGGTCTCCTTTCGGTAAAACTAAGGCTGAGAACACCAGAAAAATACAGCTGATGCTGGAGGAAACACTCACAAAGAACGTTCAATTACAGCAGGTGAGAGTTCCATGAGTAGATGTCAACTGTTAGTTAACTTCAGCTATCAGAAGAAAGAAAATACCTTCAAGAACCAAAGAGAACTCAAAGTTAAAACAACCCAATTGCCTAAAGCGCGGGAAAACGCGGTTGACCAAGTCGTGATTGATTTCACTTTTGCATCTGATTGGTTGACAGAGTGGCACGAGTTTTATGGACCAATTACAGAGCGAAGTGGAGCCAAACCAAAGCGATCCCGAATTACTTTCTACACTGAATTAAAAATTGCTCTAACATTTTCCCACTTTTTTTTTTCATAGGACGTGGACGCAATGTCTAAAGAACTTCAAAGATTCAAACAAGAAGAATTGATTCCTCCGGAACTCAATGAAACTTCGGATTCAACGTTAGATTCAAGTTCATGGAAGGCCACAGAGGAACGAGAATCTGAGTCCAGTTAGCAATTTTTAACTTAGTTTAATTTTAGGTCTTCGTACATTCTTTTCAAGTTCTGAGAACCTTGGGTTACGCTGACATCCATTGGGCTCTTAACTCTTAAACGAGAGGCTCTTATGAGTGACCAAGACAGCATTTCTCTTTACAATATCAATACAATATCAAGCAGGCAAGTGATGAGAATAAAGAAAAATATCAGTAAGGGGAGAACTAGTTTGACGCAATACCAAATTCTTCGAGCCAATATCATAAAAATTGTATAGCAGACAGGAAGGAGAATTTCTAAAGAAATCCTGGCAGTGAAATGGTTAGTACGACTTATCATCTTAGCGCAGGTTTAGTAATAGTCAGCTGTTAACTGACGAAGAGTTTGTCCGGGAGCAGTGCCTCAGATAGACATGGGTGCTGTTATTGGGGGGCCACTCTTACCGGATAAAGATAACTTCCTTACAGAAGTTCTCCTACGTACTAGTTTATGGATGGTATTCAAATCTCGTACAGAACTGTCCGATTAATGAAAATGTTATTAAATAACAGAGCTGACTAGAATTTTGAAACCAGCGCTCGCCCAGAAGAGTTCTCCGCCGGATACGCGGTTATTTAGCATTAAAGATGCGGGGTTTTAACTAAATTTGGGGTCCTATTAATTCAGGTTTCATTTTAACATTCTCAAAATATCACCAATATATAAATATATATTTCATAGGTCTTGTAAAACAGATTCAGATATATATTTCTCTAAAAATAAATCATATCGGGATCGGAATGTTTTACTTTACTTTTCCGGTTTCCTGATTAGTGTTCTTTCCGACGAGAAGCGAAGTCAATTTTCACTCGGGTATTAACTGAAAGAAAATCTTTGGTATCGTTTAAGCGCTAGGTTGATAAACATTGTAGCGATCATTTTCAGCGAAAATGCAAAAAGCGTCTCTGGAGTAAAATTATAGATATTACACCAATTATTTTAACGAGATAGATACGCTAGTATTGCTAGTATCATTTTTTTTTGTAATATTCTGAATAACCTATTTACGCACGCCTCGTGTTGAGTAAAGTAACGTTTGTAAATACAACTATTCAATGAACTAGGAAAGCATTGTAGAGAATATAATTAGCCCTTTAGTTCTGGCGGACGAGTTGATCGAGGGCTTGGCATTATGCGATTTGCCTCTGTTTACTTGATCAAATTAGATAGAGGAAGCGAATACAGTCGAACGATATTACAAGTACCTATATTATACTTACTCACGTCCGATAAGTCAAAATAAACACGAAAATTTGATGCATTTATACGTGTTATTACACGCGTAATGCGTCAAAATAAGGTCGAGAGGTATATAGTGAACGAACTTGAAATTAATTTAAGCGTGAAAAAGGAAATTACAAAGTTTTGAGATTTTCACTGCTGCTGTCTTCGTCGATGCACTACTTTGATGCCTTTCAAAGATCAACTCAGCATATTTTGCCCAGCAAAGGAAATAGACGTTTCACTAAAGGTCTAGAGGGAAACGATATTTCAAAATAGGTAAGCTGTGTACAACAAGTTAAGTATTGTTCATCTCAGAATCTTAAACGTAGTATAAAGTTGTTTTTTTTTTAATTTTAGAAGTTCAAGGAAACCCTCTGAAAACGCAGAGTGCAATCGATTCGCGCGTTTCGAACGCCATGGCAACTAAACAGATTTTTACCTCCTGTATATAATGCACTCTCACATTTACTCATTCTGGTTTACTAGCCATTAATGGTAAGAAATCTTCCCCAGAATAGATTAAACAATCAGGTAAATATAAATATTGGTCTCCTGTTTTATTTCTCTGGTGGTTCAACAGGTGGTATGGGGGTGGGAGAGAGGGAAGTTGTGAGGGGGTGGCAGGGAGTGTGGTCGTGACAATTTTGGCAGATAAATCTTAACGATTTCGTGGTCTTGTGTGGCGTTGTCATGTTGGCTTATCCTTGGTGCCTTTGATAATTCGCTCGAGTGTAAGGAAATAACTTAGGCTTCTGTCTTAGAGGACAACTGATGGACATCGAATCGTAAATTCTCGTCGGGATCGGAAAGTTTAGTCCTTTCGACACAAAAACGAGACAAACAAAAGAACGAGAGTTAAATCGATAAAAACACTAATGCGGCCTTGAATTGCTGTAAAATATTGTAGAAGTCCGAGCTTTCGCCGCTCAAGGGCATCATCAGGGACGGATAACATGAAATATTCCGCGAGGGCCGAATAAAAGGGAGAAAAGTGTCACAATACTAATGAGCTAGTGTTGTTTCCCCTCACAGTGACACTAGCTCATTAGTATTGTGACACTTTTCTCCCTTTTATTCGGCGCTCGCGGAATATTTTATGTTACCGTCCCTAATGATCCCCTTGAGCGGCGAAAGCTCGGACTTCTACAATATTTTACTGTAATTCAAGGCCACATATGCACATTAGTGTTTTTATTCATTTACCCAAAATGTTACTGAAGGACAACATTCAAAGATTGAGAGTTAAATCGTCAGGAACCCCATTGCCAATCCACGTTTACGGGAAGCAAGCACGTATAAGAGAACGCCATCTCATTAAAAATCTGTATAACTTACAAAAAAAAACAAAACCCTCCTGGCTGTGCTTGTCACTGTCACGATTTCATAGTGTGGCGGATTCTGTGGCACGATGAGAGTTTATGTCGCGTGACTGGTAAACGAAGATTTTCGATTGAGGGAAGGAACTTGTAACGCAACTTACCATTTATATACGTTACCTATTTACAGTGAGTATAAATCATTCATATATATTTCTGATAGGAAAGTCTCTTTTTTCGGGACTCGACATTCACATAAATGAACGGGGATTTGCCGGGAACTGCTGCCTTCACGGGTTACCCAACGGAAGGCAACAGCCGCTCTCTCATGATTGCCAAATTCTTATGCCCGATGTCCGCCATTAGCGGGGACTTCGCTAGTGTCGACGAAGACGTGTCTTTGTTATCGGGATTTCGGTAAGTAGACGCTCACAGATTAATTATTCGCATGTGAAATACGGTAGGTCTCCTCGTGTTCTCTCTGTGTGATATGACTTACAAATGCTGATAAACGTACAAATCTTCGCTGGATATAAACTTAGAACGACTCCTTACTCTTGCTGTATTAAAGCTTTGTCTCAGAATTTTTATATATGAAAATCAAAGTGTGCTGTTGACTCGTAAAGAGGTGCTGTGTTAATTTTTAAAGTGATATGTTTAAATTATTCAACAAAGTTTGTCAGAAGAATGGTGATTCGATAGTGTACTAAGCAAAACATGAAAAAAATTTGCAGTTTATTTAACATGCTATGGTATAGTTAGAACATAATTACTCACTGTCGAAGTTACGAGAACGCATGTTTATGATGCGCCGTGACACGTCATGTTATCGCCGAGCTACTGTAGAAGAGTTTTGTGTCTAACTGTGAAAGAAAAGTAAAAGCAGAAAAGGGCTTCTAGATTTTTAAAACAATATTTTGCGGCATCGCGAACTCTACTATGGTGTTTGTTGAGTAACGCGTGATTTTCGCGATGAGTTGAACTCTGTAAGGTGCCGGCATTGTGACCGATCGTACCTGGTTTAATCAAAATTTGTCACTTTGTGTAAATATCTGAGAATAATTATGAACATGGTTTTACGGATAGAAGTATCGGAAAAAATGCAGTATTTACTTGGCTTTCGTTTGCAAGTGATGTTTTATAAAAGTGTATCAGAGCTGTTATCCGGGTCTCATGTACTTTTAGATAAACCAGTAGGAAATAAGCTAGAGAAATGGTTTACATTTCAAGCCAATCCTTTCAGTTACTTGTTCTCTGACAGAATGGTTTGCAATTTCGCCGGAATGGACTATGATCAAAATGAAGGAAGATAGATATAGGGAGTACTGGGATGCCAGAGGGGCTAATTGAACCCTTTTCCCTGTATTTTGGAAAGTACTCTAACGAAAGGGACTGACTTTGCAGAAGTCTGACATAGCTAGAAATGGAGCTGTCTTTTTCAAGGAAGGAGAACGAGCTAGTAACGCTGAGTATGCAGTCGGAGAGCTTCTGAAGTAGAAAATTACTTCCATGTTTCAGAAAGCCGTGATTCGTTTATGTGTTTACAGTTTGATCAGAAAATTTCATCTTCTTTGAAATAACTATTTCCATCTCTTTGTTTATTTTTTGAGTTACATCATGTGTAAGTCCATGATCTTCTTTGTTTGGAATTGTGGAGACAAAAGTATCCGGTGGTAATAATGTTACAGTTATTATGGCAAAGATTTCATAGTTGCTCTTTCCATTCTGACCGGAAATGAAGTTGTTAGAGAGAAAAGCCTCTTAGAGGGCCTGCGACACAAATACCAGTTGCCAGCGGATATAGCCATGAGGGTGGCTCTGTAGTTCGGTCGACCATATTGTGACTTTGTGATTGACGAAGAAATTACCAGGAAACTGTTTGTTTTTTCTCAACCTTCCTCACTTTTAAGAAGATCTGATCCTTCTTTCTCCGATTTATGATGGGCGGATAGTCGAATTTTATCCCAAATATGAGCGAAGCGGCCAAAGAGCGTGTAATAGCGCTCGGAACTCAGTTCAATACGATGGAGCATTCTGCTTCAGAAGATCCAACTCTTGTGACTTTCGAAACGGGTAGTCCGAAAAAATCCTTTTGGAAAAGAAACACGAGTAAATTACCTGGAAGGTAATGTTGTTTTCCGTCGATTAAGTACCATGTTTGAAGCCCTTTTATTGATTTAATGTCCTTTCTAAACAGTATAAAACCCGCACATGGAACTCAAGACTTGTTGTCTTCGAGCGTTTTGCCGAGTGCCAACCAGACTTCCAGGTACGTTTAATAAAAATCATGAGTCTGTGATGGCGACTGTGATGGAGATTGCGTGTGTATACTTCTTTCTAACACTCTGCAGACTCGTCAAATATCAGACTTTTGGTACATTGTTAGATCCTTGGTAAAGTTGAACAACTGTGTTTACATTAAAAATCTTGTTGAAAAGTTGTGACGGATAGTTTCTCGAAATGATCACGGTGTTGTCTTTCTTTTTCTTGCCAAGAGTTCGGTTATTTTTTTTAGAGCGACCGAGTCAATTAAGGAGTCTAATAGGCGATCTTCGTTCCATAGTGGTTCATTTTTATTTTTGAATATAATTTGCTTACCACTGCACTAATTTCGGAAAATGTCTAATAGACTATATTTAGAATTCCTTTGTCGAAATTCAACTGGATCTTTTTGGTACAATAACATATCGAATTGATTTCATTACGGAACAGAAAATAACACATTTCAATTAAAACACTCCTTGGTACAGATTTTAGAATTTGATCTATTGCGAGATTGTTCAGGAATTCTTTTAGTTATTTTTATGATTATCATTATTTGAGATCATTGAAAAGAGGATTTGTTTCAAAAGGAAAGCTTAGTGGGACTTACATAAGTGTCATGCTGTGTATGATTTTCAGAAATAAATGTTATTAAAGAGATGAAACTTAAGCTATATTGATCTAGGTACTTCAATACTTATTGATTTGATTAAATTACAATAATATGAATATGCTAGAAAACAATAGCTGAACTACGCCTATCAAATACTTATTTGGCAGCAAGTTTGTTCATTTAATGATAATAATCAGGCTAAATCCCTTATTCATCAAAAGTGTAGTAATTTCCATGATGGATGAACAATTGCAAAATCTCCACTTAACCCTGGAATTGCCAAAATTCTGACAAGTTTTTCAGGCAACTTCGCAAAACTCTCAAAGGGTTGGCCAAATATCTTTGGTATAATACTCAGTATTATGATGCTAAGCACTTTGCAACATCAAGCTTTTTTTTTTTTTAACACAATATTTTTAACAATGAAGATATAAGTATTGTTTCTTCTTTCTGTCTCCCAACTTTTATTGATGAATCAAGCAGTGTTGTGTAAATTATGGTTTTTTCTCTTCTCGTCATGCTGGTGGAATGCAAGCTACTACCTCCCCAATCTTTTGTTGAGTTTTCCTTGCAATATTTTAGTACTCACCAATACACCAAAAGGGAGAAAGAAACTCAGAAGATTAATTTATTGTCATGCACAAGAACTGATCGCAATGGTGTAGGAACTCAGGTCCTTTATATATATGGCCCAGGATACCTAAAGAATCAGTAATTAGGCCACCAGGTGTCTGGAAAGTTTATGTACAATGTGTGTGTTAACACTTTAAATAATTTGACTTGTGTTATTTTCAGCATTCATGGCAAAGCCAAACCTAAACCATTAAGTTTCCAGGAGTTTAACAGCAAGACAAATGATGCGTGGGGTGAGGATGATGACGATGTGATCCGTGTGGACCCAGAAGAGAAGAAGCACTCCAAACCTGATTCTCGAGTGCGCACAATCAGTGGAGGTGAGGTCAGAGCAAGTATTCCAACTAATGTGACTTCCAAAGAAACTAAGAAACTTCCAGAACAGTTGGCCAAGAAAGATGAACACAAGACGTCGCGACCTTCACCACTGAGCTTACTAAGTAAGTATCAACTCTTAAATTACCAGAAGTCAGGGCTCAACACTAACGGTAGCCCACTAGCCATAGACTAGTAGAAATTCAGTTTTGGGCTAGTGGTTTTTTTATTTTCACTTGCCAGTTTGGCTAGTAAACAAACTGGAATTGTCGTAACATCTAAGATGTCACTAGTCACTTAGCTAGTAAGTTGAAAAGTTAGTGTCGAGCCCTAGAAGTGATTAACTTGTAACTTCTCCCTATAATATCCATACTTTATCCAGCTAACAGGTAATGAGAATACTCAAACTTATCAGGTACAAGTTGTTTTCTTGATGTACAGTTGGTACTCTAACACCAAATTCTTGTTCCTAATATACAGGGAAGTATGTAGCAGCCAGAGGGGAGAGTTAACATTCAGATCCTAAGAGTCAATGGGTTTGTTACTTGTAAAATTGATAAATAACAGCCTCTTTCAAGAATGTATACATTCAAAGTTTTACTGGCAATTAGCCCCTGTAGATAATAATGATTTGATGATTACATCTTTTAAATGGTACTGATACATATATCTTATTAACCAAGTGCAAGGGCCATACTGGGAGAATATCGGCTTGAGGTCTTCCGAGCGCAGCGAGGTCCGTACAAAAAAGACCGGGGGCCGATATTCTTCCAGTACGGTCCCGAGCAAGCTTGGTTAATAAGAGATTTATCATATGACTGGAGTTCAAAGGGACACAAGTGCAGTATCATTCAGGACCATTCAGGACAGCGCCCGCTCCAATACTGAGAGAATATTGACCGGCAATAGAGCATTTTGATTGGTTGATTTTACTTATTGGCCCTCTGACTGCCCAAGTCGTGTAATAAAATAATGTGGTTATTGAAGGATTGGAGGTTTAACTATTGTGTGGTTGTTTTTTATTTTTTTGTGGCATATTGGTGTTGCAAAGAAATCTGAGACTGGTAGTTGCATAACAATAAACATTGCAACAGACTTTGATGTTTGATTATGTAATAATGCAACCATTGCCAATTTTTATTAGAAAAAATTATTTGCAATCCTTTAGTTCTAGAAGATGTTAACTTTCTTTTATTTTTCTCCAGCACGGCACAAGAATCAGTCATCTTCCAAGTCTTCGGCCCATTCCCCTCCCCCTCCCCCTGTCAGTCTTCAGTCTCCCAAGCCCCCCTCCCCCATTAGAGCTGTCAAACTGGAATTCCAAGATCAAGAAGTACACAAGCTTGAAAAATTTGGAAAGCTGTTGGCAGGTCCTAACACTGATCTAGGTAAGCGTGCTTCTGTTACAAGCTTCTCCCCCCAGACTACAGCAGTGATCAACAACAGCTTGAAGAAACTTGAATTACCTTTTTTCAGGATTATTTTACTTTCTGTGAGGTTTTGCTTTAAGTGTGGTTTACTTCTTTCAGTACTTACTCAGAGCCCAATTCATGCACTTTAAAATTAATTGTTTCAAATGCACTCATGAATGTGTTATGTAAGTTTGTATCCAGCTAACTGGGCAAACATTCCTTTGATTAAATCATTTGACTGTTTGAGGACTCAAGTTTGGAAGAACAGCTCGATGATGCTCTATAAAAAGACAGAGAGTTTGCAGTAACTGTATACTTAAAAAGGTCTAAGCACACAGGACTTCAGATTGAAAGGTGTGGGTCCATGTGCTGGTAGGGTCACCGTGATTTATTCACAGCTAAGACCCTTTATCCCTAGTCACTGTGCCTCTCTCTAGAAGTGGAAGGGTACTGTCAAACTACCAGCTTACAAAGAAAAACTAGACAAAATGCTAAATTTGTGGTGAAGTTGTACCGAAGGGTAAATCCTTTGGGGAGGGGGTAGCTGGAGTGGGGGGGGTGCAGCATCCTCTCGTCACTTCATGCGGTTAAACTCTTAACTCCTAAGAGTGACTTGCATCTAATTTCTCCTTACATTTGCACTCCTGAATCACAGACTAAAGTCAGAAGAATAAAGGAGATAATCACCAACTAAAGAAGCTCTGACTTGATTATTCAACAGATTGTCCTTGTCAGCATCTTAGTAAATATGTAGAAAACAGTATTAAGAATATGCATACACTGATTTTAGGGTTTAAATGGTTACATTACCTTCCGCCTTATCTGCAGATGCAATAAGGAAATTGAGTTGGTCAGGAATCCCAGTCACAGTCCGCCCAACAACATGGCAGTTGCTCTGTGTAAGTCTGTTTATTTGATGTGTTTGTGACCAGCTCTCATCAATGAGATTCGTCTACTTGTTTTATATATAGTTAGGTTTATTTACATTTTGTATGTAGTTACCGGTAACATTTTCAACTCGCAAGATCTGACTCTCAATTCTCCCCTCTAGCTGCTACATATTTCCTTGTAAATTGGTTACAAGAATTCGGTGTTAGATCAAGAAAACTTTTACCTGATAAGTTTGAGTATTTTCGTTACCTTTTTAGCTGGATGACTTAAGGATATTTTAGGGAGAAGTAGTATATTTATCACCTCTGGGTCGACTATTGTTTTGTGTTATTAGGGATATTTACCAGCAAATATTGACAGAAGACAAGCAACGTTGGACCGCAAGCGAGAAGAGTACCACAATTTTGTCAAGCAGTATTACCCAACAAGATACGAGGATACATATCATGACACATTTAGACAGGTAGTGACGGCTAGTTTTGCCTTTTCTAGGCGTTCCAATAACAGAGGAGTGAAAATCGAGGGAGGGTTGGGTTGCGTAATGAACCCGTCCCAAACCTCCTCAATTTTTCACTCGTACGTACGCTATTGTCGCCGTTTGTAGTTTCGCTCCTTGGAACGCTTGGAGGGGGCTACGGATGTTTTTTTACCTCTAAGAGGACTTTGATAAATTTAATTTTCTTGAATCTCTGGTTTTCCATGCTCTGATGCTTGTTCTTGCAGACGCCAGCTAAGTATTTATAACTGGCAGATAGTTATCCCAAAGATCCACTACTTTTGCGCCACTATTTTTTTCCCGAAAAAGTCATACCATTTAAACTTCCTTCGATTTTGTTCGATTATTGACGGCATGAAATTTGTTTCAGCAACTTGTATGGGAGCAGTTTACGCAAAGAGGTTTTCTTCATCGCAGTTTGTCACCTAGGTGTACACTCAGTTTAGTGTTTCAAGGAAACCAACTTCCTTTTTTTTTTTTCTTTTTTTTTTTTGTCAGTGAACTCTCAGGTGAGGTTCAAGCTTTCACTCAAAGTAAGGTGGCTCAGGGCTTTTTTTTTTTTTTTTTTTTTTTTTTTCTGTTAGTGATTTTAATTGAAAATCAGGAACAAGAAGTCGATTTACTAATATCTTATATTGTCAACAGATACACATTGATATTCCACGAACAAATCCTCTGATTCCTCTTTTTCAACAACCCTTGGTGCAAGAGGTCAGTAAAACCCCTATTGCGGTATAACAGTAGTGCTTGGAAATTTGAAAATAAGTGCCTACTTGCCGAAAACATCGAGTTGTACCGCACGACCAAGGGTCTGATGCTAGAAGTTTTCCTTTCTCATAGATATTCGAGAGGATCTTGTACATTTGGGCCATCCGTCACCCAGCGAGTGGTTATGTACAGGGAATCAATGACCTTGTGACGCCTTTCTTTGTGGTGTTTTTATCAGCGTATGTGGGTGAGTTGATCGTCACTAGCGACTCAATCAGTCAAATATTTGAGTTAACTTAAAAAAGTTGGTCGAGTCCACTTATTGTAAGTTTTGATTTGTGCAGTTTACTCGAGTCTAATCTTCAACTCTCCAGAGACCTTGAGAAGCTACGGGGGGAGGAACGCGGGCTCATCCTTCCGAACGGCGGCTAGACGTCACGCCTGCCGCGCGCAAATTTCCCGCGCAAAATTTTAAGGATAACGTTGACAAAAATGAAAAAAATAAACAGTGGCTCTCTCTCAACCAAGACGCCCTTCCCCAGCTCTTTGAATAGTCGTACCGACGCCCCTGTAAGCGACCTCGTCTGTATACTCTTCTTTTGCTTGATTTTTCTTGAAGATGGTGACCTAGAGAACCACGATGTGAGCGGACTTTCACAGGAGACCTTGGACACCATAGAAGCTGATAGCTTTTGGTGTATGAGCAAACTGCTCGATGGAATACAGGTGAATCTACTGTTAGTACATCTAAAAAAAGCCTTTTACACGTAAATCGTATTTATTTCAACTTTTCTCGCAATTCATTTTCTTTTCTTTTCTTGTTTTCTTCGCGTGTTTGCGAGGTATTGGGTTTCGTGTAACGATCCGTTGTTGTTTGTCTTCTGTAACTTTGTCGTCTCTTGGAGGGTGCCAATTTAACAACAGAATGATTCGCTTTTCGCAGGATAATTACACATTTGCACAGCCTGGAATACAAATGAAAGTCAACGCGCTTAAAGAACTCATCCAAAGAATCGATGGTAAGAAAAACGACTTTTCTCTTGTCGAAAGGGTGGTCGTTGTACCAGATTATTGTGAAATATGAAGCTAGTATAAATTCCGAAGTTCTGCGGAGACGCGGTGGACCCTGGGCCGATAGCTTCGAGTTCGACACCTGGCAGAATAGCTGAGTTGTTTCTCGAATTCACGGCCCATTCTACCAGTGAGCTACAGAACTACGGAATAGGAGAAAGTTAAGTCTGCACCGGAGCTAAGCGGCCCACAATGCCTTGCTACTTCCCATGGATGGAATGCTAGTTCATCACAGTTTACCGTCAGTATTAGTTCAAGTTTCCCTGATATTTCGCCGGAATGCATTTACCTTTTCACTCCCAAAATGTTGTTAGTTATTTTCCTTACTTTCTGCCATACAATCCTTATCATATTAGCTAGGAGAACTTGGTATTGTATCATCTATTAATCCCCTAATTGATATTTTTCTTTATTCTCATCACTTGTCTAATTGATTTTGTATAGATATTGTAAGAAGAAATTCCGTCTTGATCACTCATGGGAGTTTGAGGGTTAAACTACTTGGTGGAGAGAAGTTCGAATCTTCTTTAGGGACTTTTTCGTTTTCTTTTTCCCATGCTCGCCTAAAAAAATTCTCAACCATTTTGAATACCCGCGAAATGTCAAGAAAATACAACGGTGACCATTTACTTGAAATAGCTTCACTTAGGAAAGATGTTCTTCTATTTTTATTTACATAACAGAACCTCTGAATCATCACCTGGAGAGAAATAATGTTGAATATTTACAGTTTGCCTTTCGTTGGATGAATAATCTTCTAATGCGTGAAATGCCTTTAAGATGTACAATACGACTTTGGGATACTTACCTGGTAAGTATTTACAAGGAAAATTTTCCCCCAATGTTTCTTACGCAGTCGTTAAGCCGAAGCCGAGTCATTACAACGACCAATCAGAAGAGAGTAAAATGTTTTAAGGGCCAATGAGAACTCACAATAAAAATGGTTAACCGCCTAAAAAGCGCGGAAAAACGCGGGAAAACACGGGCGACCAAGTCGTGATTGGTGTGAGTTTTGCATCTGATTGGTTGAAAGAGTGGCGCGAGTTTCTGGACCAATCACAGAACAAAGTAAAGTCAATCCCGGATTGCTTTCGACACTGAATCGAAAATTGCTGAATAGTTTTGTATACAAATGTTTATCTCACTTAAACTTTAGACCACAATCGTTAAGTGATTCAGGTAGGGGCAAATTAAGCGGCAAATTAACTCGTTCGTTTCTGTTTAACTACTCGCCATGGCGACCAAACAGTGGTAACTTTGAAAACTGCTTTTTGATGTATTTGTTATTGTTTGAAAACGTCAAGACTTCTGAAAAGATTGATGCAGTTTTCTGTCCTTCTTCCCATCAGGCTGTAGAAAATGGATTCGCTTCATTTCATCTGTACGTCTGCGCAGCGTTCTTGAAACAATTTTCAAAAGAAATTGTGGATGAAACAGACTTTCAGGTTTGTGGATAACTTGTTTTTCCCTTGATAAACGTGACTCTGACTTCCATTTTGAAAGTGAAGCACTTGCTTATTCAAGTAGTCATGGTGCTCAGTGCAAAAAAAAATTCGAAGGAGTAGTAGGAAGGGGGTTAAGAATTGGGAATGTCGAGCAGAGAGAGGGGAGCTCGCCACGCCCGACCCCCTCCCCCCACCCTTCGCAGCCCCATGCGATTACCTATGCATAAATTGTTTGGAGTCGCTTCCTCTTTACTCCCCCCTGCCCCATAAACTTTCATCAAATTTTAGTATAAAATGTACCTGCTGTCTCTGATTCGTATCTTTTATTTCGATGCTTCCATTTTCAAGGGACACCCATATGTGTTTGATACGTCTTTCGCTCTCCGTAGATCTAAAAGTTTCGCCACAATTCTGCGAAGTCTTTTCTCATTAGGTATCAATCTTCAAAACTCGCTGTGTTTCCTTTCATTCAACAGGGTTTGATGCTTTTACTACAGAATCTACCAACAACGAATTGGGACGATCAGCAAATAAGCCTCCTCTTGGCAGAAGCTTACAGATTAGAGTACATGTTTGCAGACGCCCCAAAACATTTACAGCACCTCTCGTGAGATGAATGAATCAATGCAATATTTTGGCCGTGTAAATACAGGGTATATACTTAGTTTGAACCCAGAGCACCGTTCCAGAATGGCGGATAAGCTAGTTCTGGACTCATGTAAGAACCTTCCAGCGGTCTCCGAGATTTAACACTAATGGATTCTTAAACCGCTAGACGCTATCTGGTTTATTTGTGAGATTGACATTGGGACAGTGTAATGTTTAACTGGATGTAGAAGTGACTTACTCTAGATTTCTTATCTAGATTTCTTATCTAGATTTCTAGATACTTATTCCCATATCTAAATGAATGAATTCGACGAATTTTTTTTTTCAATGAAGTTCCTTGAAAAGTTCCTTGTTCCTTGAAAAGCTTCGAGGAACCAGATCTGCGATCGATTAATCGATCGATGGTTTTCTTTAATTATTTTCGTACCGTCCATAGATCTTCATGTACAGACCTAATGACTATCAAACCGGCCTTGCATCACCTTTAGTATTCTTTCACATTTCCGTGATTTAGCTCTCTTTGTCCAGATCGCCTTTGTAGAATGTGAAAAACTTATTCTTTTGAACTAGAAAATGGGGCCAACTAGCATGGAGATGAAAGAATGATATATATTCCTCTTTTTTTATAGCTTTGCTTGKMRKTRYKT